CCACTGACTCTCTCTTCAAATCAGTGATGACTGAGGTTGGGGGTTATGTAGTTCAGACAATGAGACACTTTAAAAGCAGTGCAAAAAGTCACCTTAATTTCCTCTCTTTCTTTGGAGTACAGACCACAAAGGCAAATCCAGCTGTGCGCTGCCCACCGAAGCCTCCCTCCCAGACCAGCTTAACACATTCTATGCTCGCTTCCAGGCAGACAATACCGAGCCCTCAACAAAGACTCTCGCTACTCCGGATGTCCAGGTGTTTTCGCTCTCCGAGGCTGACGTGAGGAAAACTCTCAAAAGAGTGAATACTCACAAAGCCGCCGGCCAAATGGCTTCCCTGGCTGCGTCCTCAGAGTGTGTGCTGACCAGCTGGCGGGCATCTTCTCGGACATCTTCAATCTGTCCCAGACTGTAGTCCCCACCTGCTTTAAGGAGACTACCATTGTTCCAGTGCCCAAGAAAAACAAGATGACACGCCCAAATGACTATTGCCTCGTCACGCTCACCTCAGTCATCATGAAGTGCTTCGAGAGTCTGGTCACGGACCACATCAAGGTCAGCATGCCAGGCACACTGGACCCACTCCAATGTGCCTTCCTCACCAACAGATCCACAGATGATGCCATTTCCATCTCTATTCACACGGCCCTAGTACATCTGGACAAGAGGAACACCTACAGTGGGGAAAAAAAGTATTTAGTCAGCCACCAATTGTGCAAGTTCTCCCACTTAAAAAGATGAGAGAGGCCTGTAATTTTCATCATAGGTACACGTCAACTATGACAGACAAAATGAGGAAAAAAAATCCAGAAAGTCACAATGTAGGATTTTTAATGAATTTATTTGCAAATTATGGTGGAAAATAAGTATTTGGTCACCTACAAACAAGCAAGATTTCTGTATGTGAGAATGCTCTTCATTGACTACAGTTCAGCGTTCCAACACTATTGTTCCCTTCAAGCTCAACACCAAGCTCAGAGCCCTGGGTCTGGACACCACCCTCTGCAACTGGATCCTGGACTTCCTGACGGGCAGACCATTTGCTGTGAGGATGGGGAAACAACACCTCCTCCACACTGACTCTTAACTCAGGGGCCCCCCAGGGGTGTGTCCTCAGTCCTCTGCTGTAGTCCCTGTTCACCCACGACTGTGTGGCTTTGTACGACACCAACTCCATCATCAAGTTTGCTGATGACGCCACATTGTAGACCTGATAACCAACAACAATGAGTCAGCCTATAGGGAGGAGGTAAGTGAACTGGCATTGTGGTGTCATGACAAAAATCTCTCCCTCAACTTCAGCAAAACAAAGGAGTTGATTGTTGACTTCAGGAAGCAGAGGAGGGAACATGCCCCGATCCATTTTCAACGGGACTGCAGTAGAGAGAGTCACGAGTTTTAAGTTCCTCGGCGTCCACTTCACTGAGGACTTGTCATGGACCACCAACACCACCACTCTTGTCAACAGGTCGCAACAGCGTCTCTACTTCCTAAGGCGGCTGAAGAAATTCGGCATGCCGCCCCAGGTCCTCTACAAATACTACCACTGCACCATCGAGAGCATCCTGACAGGTTGAATCATGGCCTGGTATGGGAATTGCTCCTTCCACGACTGCAAGGCCCTCCAGTGGGTGGTGAAGACGGCCCAGTACATCACCGGGACCGGTGCTCCCACCCATCCAGGACATCACCGGGACCGGTGTTCCCACCCATCCAGGACATCACTGGGGCTGTGCTCCCACCCATCCAGGATATCTACTAGAAACAGTGCCTGAGGAAGGCCAGCAGCATCATCAAGGACCCCGCACATCCAAGCCATGAGCTGTTCTCTCCCTTACTGTCAGAGGTCTGATACCAACAGGCTCAGAGACAGTTTCTATCTACAACCCATCAGACTGCTGAACACTTGAACTGGACATACACAGACAAACACACACACACACACACACATACAGTCGAAGTCGGAAGTTTACATACACTTAGGTTGGAGTCAATAAAACTACTTTTTCAACTACTCCACAAATTTAATGTTAACAAACTATAGTTTTGGCAAGTCGGTTAGGACATCTACTTTGTGCAAGACACAAGTAATTTTTCCAACAATTGTTTACAGACAGATTATTTCACTTATAATTCACTGTATCACAATTCCAGTGGGTCAGAAGTTTACATACACTAAGTTGACCGTGCATTTAAACAGCTTGGAAAATTCCAGAAAAGTATGTTATGGCTTTAGAAGCTTCTGATAGGCTAATTGACATCATTTGAGTCAATTGGAGGTGTACCTGTGGATGTATTTCAAGGCCTACCTTCAAACTCAGTGCCTCTTTGCTTGACATCATGGGAAAATCAAAAGAAGTCAACCAAGACCTCAGGAAAAAAAATGGTAGACCTCCACAAGTCTGGTTCTTCTTTGGGAGCAATTTCCAAACGCCTGAAGGTACCACGTTCATCTGTACAAACAATAGTACGCAAGTATAAACACCATAAGACCACGCAGCTGTCATACCGCTCAAGAAGGAGACGCGTTCTGTCTCCTAGAGATGAACGTACTTTGGTGCGAAAAGTGCAAATCAATCCCAGAACAACAGCAAAGGACCTTGTGAAGATGCTGGAAGAAACAGGTACAAAAGTATCTATATCCACAGTAAAACAAGTCCTAAATCGACATAACCTGAAAGGCCGCTCAGCAAGGAAGAAGCCACTGCTCCAAAACCGCCATAGAAAAAGCCAAACTATGGTTTGCAACTGCACATGGGGACAAATATCGTACTTTTTGGAAAAATGTCCTCTGGTCTGATGAAACAAAAATAGAACTGTTTGGCCATAATGACCATCGGGGTTGCTTGCAAGCCGAAGAACACCATCCCAACCGTGAAGCACGGGGGTGGCAGCATCATGCTGTGGGGGTGTTTTGCTGCAGGAGGGTCTGGTGCACTTCACAAAATAGATGGCATCATGAGGAAGGAAAATTATGTGGATATATTGAAACAACATCTCAAGACATCAGTCAGGAAGTTAAAGCTTGTTCACAAATGGGTCTTCCAAATGAACAATGACCCCAAGCATACTTCCTTAGTTGTGGCAAAATGGCTTAAGGACAACAAAGTCAAGGTATTGGAGTGGCCATCACAAAGCCCTCACCTCAATCCTATAGAAAATGTGTGGGCAGAACTGAAAAAGTGTGTGCGAGCAAGGAGGCCTACAAACCTGAATCAGTTACAACAGCTCTGTCAGGAGGAATGGGCCAAAATTCACCCAACTTATTGTGGGAAGCTTGTGGAAGGCTACCCTAAACGTTTGACCCAATTTAAACAATTTAAAGGCAATGCTACCAAATACTAATTGAGTGTATGTAAACTTCTGACCCACTGGGAATGTGATGAAATAAATAAAAGCTTAAATAAATCATTCTCTCTACTATTATTCTGACATTTCACATTCTTAAAATAAAGTGGTGATCCTAACTGACCTAAGACAGGGAATTATTACTAGGATTAAATGTCAGTAATTGTGAAAAACTAAGTTTAAATGCATTTGGCTAAGGTGTATGTAAACTTCCGACTTCAACTGTATACGTTCATGCTACACAAACACCACAACTGCTGCTACCAGACACTGCCGTTTCATTTACAGTTTATGAGTAAAGAAGTCCTTTGGGAGACCAGTACGGAGCCCATGAAGCTGGGCCGTGTTTCATCGTTCATTCTAAACCATATCTAAAGGGGCTTTTGATAAACTCAAGCCAAAGGATGTGGCCTGTGGCCCCCATCTGTCTCTGTGTATGAATATTTACCAAACAGTGGATAAGACATGCCTTCATCATGTGCCAGTTCCACCATTTAAGTACAGCGTTGCTGTTTTTCTTGGTGTTATCTGGCCAGAACGAGGCTGCGTCCAAATGGCACCCTATAGTCTTGCTTGTAGTCCTAAAAAATTGTTTGTTTAGCCATTCCTATGGGGACAATGAACGAGGAAAGAATTGAGTTTTGGGATAAACATCGAAAATAAGGTCTGAGGTTAACACAGGCTTAGGAGATCTTAAACGTTTTTGTTCTGAGGTAATATCAGTCAGTTAACATTACCTTTATGAATTATGAAGCCTTTATCTGCTTTATGTGCTTTTTTTTTTTTATGACAAAAAATGCTTCAAAATTCACAAAATGGTGACGTTAGCTGATGAAGACGATCTCATAGAACGAAACGTATAAGATCTCCTAAGCCTGTGTTTACCACATACTTTTTTTAGGTGTTTATCCAAAAACCCTATAAAAACTCCATTAATTTCCCCATAGGCTTTGTCCAATGAACCATGGAGGAGTTAGTGCCTACAAAAAATACACCATTACTATTGCTCTCTATTCGCTATACAGGGCTCTGGCCAAAAGAAGTGCACTCTGTAGGGAATAGGGTGCCATTTGGGATGCAGAAGATTTTTACTTCAATGAACGGGACAATAATAATATGCCATTTTAGCAGACACTTTTATCCAAAGCGACTTACAGTCATGCGTGCATACATTTTTTTTGTGTATTGGTGGTCCCAGGGATCGAACCCACTACCTTGGCGTTACAAGCGCCGTGCTCTACCAGCTGAGCTACAGAGGACCACACAATCAAAGTTTTTAAAGATTTACTTGACTTTCATGTGTTTTGAGTGTTATGTCATCAGCTTGGTACTAGAGACACAAGGTTCTTAAAGGTTGTTGCTTAGCAGCTTAATTGCAGGTAAAGCGTTTTGAAGCTGTTTCACCTTGTTTGTGGTCATGTGGGCACTCAAGTAGAACGCAACGTGAGAGAGTGTTTCCCCAGGTTTTGTTTGTAGCTTTTGGAATTTACAAGCTCGCCAACGACCTGAAAGGTTTGGAATGGTTCGTTAAAAATAGTTATCTAACTTTAATGATTTTCTGTGAAGATTAAAATAGAAAAAAAGTGCAGTTACTGTATGCAAAACGTGGTTATTTTTACAGTAGAACAATAGAGCAACAAAGGATCCACAGTATGAAAGTGAGAACAGAACATATGATAATGATCCTCTACAAGGCTAAGGAGTTCATTGTTTACAGGATACAGTGCAGCTTCGGCAGTGTCAAGTCCCAAGTTTATTTAAAGTGCATTTAACAGGAGTCACAACACACTTTACATTAAAAAGAGAAACAAAACATAGCAGAAAGAAGGGGAGCGAGGTGAACAATATCTACCACAGTAGAAAGACTATACAGGAAGTAGAAGCCACTTCAGCAGTCTCTTCTTCTATTAACCTGCTCTCCTTCCACAGTGTTCCGATAGGGCGCTGAACCGAGCCGCACCATGAAGACCCAGAAGGCCGGGGCCCCAGGGGGCCCAACGCCAAGCTCTCCCTCCCCACACCAACGGATGTCTGGTTTCAGCCTGCGGGGCCGGAAGAAGAAGGAGGGCCTTATCCAAGGCAAGCTGCGGATCCGCTCCATGCCAGGAGCCTTCCTGGTGCTGGGGGTCATTGTGGTGGTGGTGGGCACGGCCCTGGCAGTGGCTGGGTACTGGCCCTACCGGACCCACCGATCATCACAGCTCCTTGGACTTGGACAACAAGGCTCTGGTTCTGTGGACGGGGCAGCAGGAGGTGGAGGTGGGGGTGTCTCTGAGCCCCAGTCATCCGGTTGGAGACTCCTGACCACGGCCAGTCTGATCCACAGTGAGAGGATGAAGCTCCTGGGACCGGTCATCATGGGCGTGGGGCTGTTCATCCTCATCTGTGCCAACACGGTGCTGTACGAGAACCGCGACAGGGAGACCCAGATGCTGCTGGCCCAGATGCGGAGCGTCATCTGCTCGGTGTCGGCGGCCGTGCCCTCGGCCGACCTCTCAGACATGGCAGCAGCCAACTCCATGGCCAGACACTACCAGTGGGTGAGCAGTCTGCCCGCCGCCCACCTTAACATCCTCTATCTGCAGCAGCTGGCCAGCTCAGAGCCCCTGCTGCAGACGACCAGAGACAGCAGGCAGGAGGACAGGGCAGCTGACTGTACGTACCAGCAGGCCACCTTACAGACAGAGGCTCTACACCACCAGGAGTCAGCCTCCACCCCTTCCCTCCACTCCTCCCACTCCAACTCCTGCAACTCCAGCAAGACGGACTTCAACACGCGATGGGGTGGTGGTGGTGAGCCAGGGGTAGGGGGCTCCAGCCCAGACTCACAGCCCGCTCACCTCTTTAAACTCAACAACTGCCTGGTGTCAGCCAGCTCCATGTCCACTCTGGGAGGGGATGACTGGGAGAGGTCGGAGGTCACAGCCATGCTGCCCAGGCGCTCCCACAGTCTTAGCTACAGGACTAACCCCGGCCCTCACAGGCCCCAGACTGTAATAAGTCTACAGGAAGGGGTCATGCGGCCCGGGGGACCCACAGATAGTGCAGCCCAAGCCCATGTGGAGGTGTGTGTGAACATGGTTGGGTGTGGAGGTGGAGGTGTGGAGCCCCCGGAGCTCACACCCGTAGAGGAGCAGAGGCACCGCAGCTGGCCCCGGTTAGACCTGGGCTGTGCCCGCAGGTACCTCAAGCTGGACAATAAGGAGGACTCGGTGGACAGACTGCTTGACCAGTTGGAGCAGCAGTGTTCTCTGTGGGATAAGAGTTTCGGTTCAGGGCCTTTCCAGTGAGAGCCAGTAAAGGCCCCATATCTCAATATGGCCCCATATCAGGGCCCTCTGTTTTTAAAAACCAGCTTATAAAGAAAGATCCTCATGATATATCGACTACTGGGAGTAGGAGCTTTTTCGGTTGGATCATAATTGTGCTCTATTTTCACTGACTCCTGAAGGAGGTTATAACAGAAACCTTTCTATGTGTCACTCTGAATTCCTCTCACTTGGGATACACAGTACAGTGTCGAGCAGCTTCCAATCTAAAGATACAAACCTTTAGAAACCCTGTTTCTCGGACTTTCCATGGTGTGGATATATAAACACAAGTGTTGGAGGACTGCAGATGAATTGGATCAGTTTGGCAGACATTCTGTTTTAAGAGGGGAACAATACTCCACACTGTCAAAGATGAGTTGGAGCAATTTGCCAATTTGTTTACTGGGTGGCAGTTAGGCTTGGCACTTGGCAGCAATGTGCAGGAATCAATTTGTCTTTCGTTGCCAAAGCATTACTTGTTTCCAGGACACAGCAAGCACATCCGAATGTGGGAGGTAGAAACCCATTCTAATGAGGGACTGTCTTCACTGTGTAATCTATTTAAAAACCAAACTACTCGAATCCGGCGAGCCCCAGATGTGCTACTGATAACAGCTAGTAAAATAAAACATATGTCCCAGAGACCAAAACAAGCGCATGCTGATAGAGATGTCATGTGTAATCTACAGTAGTGGTCAAAAGTTTTGAGAATTACACAAATATTAATTTACCCAAAGTCTTCTGCCTCAGTTTTTATGATGGCAATTTGCATATACTCCAGAATGTTATGAAGAGTGATCAGATGAATTGCAATTAATTGCAAAGTCCCTCTTTGCCATGAAAATGAACTTAATCCCCAAAAAACATTTCCACTGCATTTCAGCCCTGCCACAGAAGGACCAGCTGACATCATGTCAATGATTCTCTCGTTAACAAGGGAGTGGGCTCACTCACAATTTTGCCTAAGAATACAGCCATGAATAAAGAATGGTACCAACACATCCTCCGAGAGCAACTTTTCCCAACCATCCAAGAACAGTTTGGTGACGAACAATACCTTTTCCAGCATGATGGAGCACCTTGCCATAAGGCAAAAGTGATAACTAAGTGGCTCGGGGAACAAAACATCGACATTTTGGGTCCATGGCCAGGAAACTCCCCAGACCTTAATCCCATTGAGAACTTGTGGTCAATCCTCAAGAGGCGGGTGGACAAACAAAAACCCACAAATTCTGACAAACTCCAAGCATTGATTATGCAAGAATGGGCTGCCATCAGTCAGGATGTGGCCCAGAAGTTAGTTGACAGCATGCCAGGGCGGATTGCAGAGGTCTTGAAAAATAAGGGTCAACACTGCAAATATTGACTCTTTGCATAAACTTAATGTAATTGTCAATAAAAGCCTTTGACACTTATGGAATGCTTGTAATTATACTTCAGTATACCATAGTACCATCTGACAAAAAATATCTAAAAACACTGAAGCAGCAAACTTTGTGAAGACTAATACTTGTGTCATTCTCAAAACGTTTGACCACAACTGTACACCTACATACAGTGAGGGAAAAAAGTATTTGATCCCCTGTTGATTTTGTATGTTTGCCCACTGACAAAGACATGATCAGTCTATAATTTTAATGGTAGGTTTATTTGAACAGTGAGAGACAGAATAACAACAAAAAAATCCAGAAAAACGCATGTCAAAAATGTTATAAATGTATTTGCATTTTAATGAGGGAAATAAGTATTTGACCCCTCTGCAAAACATGACTTAGTACTTGGTGGAAAAACCCTAGTTGGCAATCACAGAGGTCAGACGTTTCTTGTAGTTGGCCACCAGGTTTGCATACATCTCAGGAGGGATTTTGTTCCACTCCTCTTTGCAGATCTTCTCCAAGTCATTAAGGTTTCGAGGCTGACGTTTGGCAACTCGAACCTTCAGCTCCCTCCACAGATTTTCTATGAGATTAAGGCCTGGAGACTGGCTAGGCCACTCCAGGACCTTAATGTGCTTCTTCTTGAGCCACTCCTTTGTTGCCTTGGCCGTGTGTTTTGGGTCATTGTCATGCTGGAATACCCATCCACGACCAATTTTCAATGCCCTGGCTGAGGGAAGCAGGTTCTCACCCAAGATTTGACGGTACATGGCCCCGTCCATCGACCCTTTGATGCGGTGAAGTTGTCCTGTACTCTTAGCAGAAAAACACCCTCAAAGCATAATGTTTCCACCTCCGTGTTTGACGGTGGGGATGGTGTTCTTGGGGTCATAGGCAGCATTCCTCCTCCTCCAAACACGGCGAGTTGAGTTGATGCCAAAGAGCTCGATTTTGGTCTCATCTGACCACAACACTTTCACCCAGTTCTCCTCTGAATCATTCAGATGTTCATTGGCAAACTTCAGACGGGCATGTATATGTGCTTCCTTGCAGGCGCTGCAGGATTTCAGTCCTTCACGGCGTAGTGTGTTACCAATTGTTTTCTTGGTGACTATGGTCCCCGCTGCCTTGAGATCATTGACAAGATCCTCCTGTGTAGTTCTGGGCTGATTCCTCACCGTTCTCATGATCATTGCAGCTCCACGAGGTGAGATCTTGCATGGATCCCAAGGCCGAGGGAGATTTACAGTTATTTTGTGTTTCTTCCATTTGCGAATAATCGCACCAACTGTTGTCACCTTCTCACCAAGCTGCTTGGCGATGGTCTTGTAGCCCATTCCAGCCTTGTGTAGGTCTACAATCTTGTCCCTAACATCCTTGGAGAGCTCTTTAGTCTTGGCCATGGTGGAGAGTGTGCTCCTAATCTCAGCTCGTTCCCTGTATAAAAGACACCTGGGAGCCAGAAATCTTTCTGATTGAGAGGGGGTCAAATACTTATTTCCCTCATTAAAATGCAAATCAATTTATAACATTTTTGACATGCGTTTTTCTGGATTTTTTTGTTGTTATTCTGTCTCTTACTGTTCAAATAAACCTACCATTAAAATTATAGACTGATCATTTCTTTGTCAGTGGGCAAACGTACAAAATCAGCAGGGGATCAAATACTTTATTCCCTCACTGTATTTATGCAGAATAATGGTTCAATTGGCTGTGTGTCAGATAAAGAGATAGTTAAAGATAGGTTGGTAACACTTTATTTGAAGGTTACCTACATAAGGACTTCATTACACATTCATAAACAGTACATAAGCATTGATTAAGCATTATGTAGCGCTTGTGAATGTGTTATGTAGGGCTTATCAATGCGTAATAGATCCCTTATGTAGGTACCCTTCAAGTTCTATGTTGCCAGTTTGCTGTCCTTCTCCTGGTTATTACCAAGGTTGTGTCCCAAATTACACCCTATTCCCTATATAGTGCACTACTTTTGACCAGCACTCATAGGGCTCTAGTCAAAACCAATGTTCTATAAAGGGCATAGGGCTCTCCAACCCTGTTCCTGGAGAGCTACCGTCCAGCAGGTTTTCACTACAGGAGGGTATCTCTAGGGTATCGCGCCAGGAACAGGGTTGGAGAGCCCTGGTATAGGGAATATTAGGGCTATTTGAGACGCAGCCCGAGGTAATCCACCAGTGGGAATCAGCGGTGAGGAAACCCCTTCCCTCCCTCCTGTCTACCGTCCTGTTGATTCTCTCACTGCCTCCTTCTCAGAGTGCATCTTGTGTTGTTCCCCAAATGGCACCCTATTCCCTATGTAGTGCAAAAGTAGTGTTCTGTATAAGGAATAGGGTGCCATTTGGGACGCAGGACTAGTGTTTACGAGGAGGGGTCACCCTTTTCTCCTTCCAACTGAGGCGAGGGAATGGAGGACAGACAAGTTAGTCTCAGCACTGTCTCTCTCTGTTTGATTTAGTGGAATGAAATGGTCAGTGTTTTTTGCATGCAGTTGGGGTATGAGGGGCTATGTGATTAAGACATGTCTGGTTCCCTAGAGGACAAGACCCACACACACACACACACACACACACACACACACACACACACACACACACACACACACAGGCTGATGTGGCGAGAAGGCTTAATTGTGTTTACAATGCCACAGTCTCTCTCTCTCTCCTCTCCTATATCTCCAGAGACTGTCCGAGGAGGGCGGCGTAGAGGTTGGGAGGAGAGAAAGGAGAGGGAGAGCTCAGGCGAAGAGAGATGAGAAGGAGAGTGGAGAGAGAGAGAGAGAGAGAGAGAGAGAAGGCAGAGAGATAGAGTATAGAGAGAGAGCTTCGAGAGAGAGAGAAGCTATAGAGGAGAGATAACTATCGCTCGCTGAGATCCTAGGCGAGCAGATCTCTCTATCTCTAACTCTCATTCTTAGAAGCGATCTCTGCAGCGCTTCTCTCTCTTCTCTCTCAGTCTCTCTCTCTCTCAGTCTCTATCTTCATCTCTCTCTCTCTCTACGTTCTTCTTCTCTCTCTCTATCTCTCTCTCTCTTCTCCGTCTCTCTATTCGCCTCTCTCTCTCATCTCTGTCTTGTTCTCTTTCTCTCTCGTTCTATGTCAGTGTTGCTGTTTCTATTCTGTGTCGTGGCAATTTGTTCTCTAAATGTATTACACAAGCCAATGTTTATCAGTAGGTCTGACGAACATATTGTCTGTGTCTGGCCACTGTAGGCCACACACACAAAAAAAAAAAAGAACATCCTTGGTTGTCAGTGGTTTCATTTGTTCACTTGGCAAGGCTACAACCTTCCCGTTGGGGTATTTATACGGTATATATTTCGGTGTCCAACTGATGACCCTATTCCTCACCAGACAGGGGCTTTACGTCTCATTCTTCCTCCCAGCTTGAGGATGTCCAGCTGGGATGTGAACCAGCGAGCCCTAGCTGTCATCAGGCCCGGTCCAACAACACCACAGCCAATCAGCAGGCTGTACACTACAGAGCATTCAATGGGACAAAGGAAGTCTGAACAGATTCTGGATTCTAACCCTT